TTTGCCGAGTTTCTGCCCGGCCTCGGTGGAGCTGCTTGCGGAGCACAGCCGGGCCCATAATCACAGCCCCAGGGTGTCGGAGCTGGATCCCGGCAGCCGAGGCGGGACGGGAACGGGAACCGGTCGGGGAAAGGGATCCACAGGGCCGTGTCCGCCTTCGCTCCAGCCCCGGGGCACGGGCGCAAAGCTGTTCGGTCACTGGGTCAGGTGTTTGAGGGATTTTCCATGGGGCCCTTCACCAAAGGTTTCCCGATCATCGCGGCTGCGATGGTGAGACGCTACAGCAGAGCACAGTGAGAGTAGGAATACACTGAGAGATTGTTCCCTTTCCTACACGTTTTCTCTGCTGGAAGGATTCTTTCTGCAGCCTGAGCACTTTCAATAAAAGGGGATGAGTACTGAAATGATGGAGTCTGGTGACCTAGAAAGTTGTTCAGGATACTCAGGCTGAAAGCTGGCTGAACCCTTACCCTAATGGTCACAGCTCTGGGTGACAAAACGGCAGGGACACACTGTAACAATGAGCACAGACTGGTGTCCGGGGGAAGGAGGACAGTCCTAATTACTTATATAGTGATAAACAATCGTTACTTACAAAAAAGACCCTGGAGGCACAGTGGGTAGTCCCCAAAAAATGACAGCCAAGGAATCAGCATGGGACAAAATGCAAAGGACTGCGTGGATGAAAAAGGGAAGACACAAAACAACTGAAAGACATRTGGAGGCCTCCCTTCACCATGGTGGTGTTCTAGAAAGTTAAATAAATTAAAGTGGGGAGATGAGGAATTTAGACACCAAGGGCCCTTATGGTAAAGGCTTCCATCTTGCAGTTTTCACAGGATTCCCAAAGGTTTTACAGGAAGGACGGGCTGGACACTGTCATTGTCAGCAAGAGCAGAGGGATGYAGGGGAGAACTGGGCTGGTTACTGTCTAACACCAGCAGGTACTCAATTGAGAGAAGAGAGAGTGAGAGGATTTGGGAGCAAGACAGATGAGGCTCCTGACAGCCTGYTCTGTTACTGTCAGGAGAGCTTGGTTACAGAACAAAGTCATTTATTTCGAGTCCTCCTTGGCATTGATGTCATTGTTTTCACTGCATTGAGAGGTGAGGAGGAGAACCTTCCAGTTTCACCAGAAGGGATGTGACAGTAACTGGCTGTTGGAATGTGGTGTCTGCCCAATTTTCAGTCTGCCCAGAGCATCTTCCATCCAGCACGTCTGCTGCTGCTCAGCTACAGAAAGATAGAGGCAAAATCCCTGAAACACTGTTCTGTTTATTTTCTATTTGAAAGTCTGTTTTCTCATCCAGTTGCTAGTAGAGAGAGAAATTACCTTAATTACCTGCATTTTCTACGCAGTTTGCTTGATTTTTTATGCAACTATTTTCAGGTGATCACATATTCCAAAATGTGACCAAAAGCTCACTAGGTTTGCTGAGATTAAAAGATGGCCCAAGGCCTTTGAATGTTCTTCCTGAGCAGACACAACAGGCTTCCCATCTGTTGCTGTTTTGGTTGCCAGCTCCTTGTATTCCCTGAAAGCTTAAAATAAAAATCCCTTACCTGTGAATTCCTCTTTCTGAATGAGGCAGGCTTGGCAATGCTTTCATTAGAGACATTCATTCGCCGAGTGTAAGAGACTCAAGAATTCCTGGAACTCAATGACAGTTTTGGATTTGACAGTCGTATTGAARCCATTTAGTAACACCAGTTTGGAACAAATACTGCAGCATACATGAACATGGCATTAGAGAGTTTCCTGTCTCAAACCTATAGAAAATTCACAGAAAATTGAAGTTTAGAGGTTAAGGACTCATTCCCACCTGCTGTTGTAGAGATCTATCCAACTCCCTACTTCTACTGGAGTCTCTCATACAAAATAAAGTCTAAAAAGAAAACCACAGACCTCCTGTGATTCTTTTTGTTAGAAACAAAACATTGTCTGGGTCAAACATTGGATCCACTTCCTTAAAAGAAGCCATATGTCCTGGGGGGACATCACCTCTTCCTTACCTTGTGGACTATGTCTTGGCAATAATATTTGCCTGAGAGTGCTTAAATGTAATAAATCAAGCTGAAGAATATGCCATGATCCCTCAGTTACCACAGCTGGAGATCTGCTGCTCTGTGCACACTTCCTTAGACCAGACTCTTCAGCAATGCTSTGTCTCTACACCAGCAACAAATCCTTCAAATTCCCATAAGTCTGTTTTCCTCCCAGCTTCACTATTCCAGTTTTTGATTCAACCTTTTGGTTCAATATATTGTATTTTCCACAAAAAAAAAAACAACACAACCAACCAACCAACGAACCAACCAACCTTCAAAGCCACCTTCAGCAGTAGAAGAGTCTTTATAAATGG